TGTTGTTGCTGTAGTAGTAGTAGTAGTAGTAGTAGTAGTAGTAGTAGTAGTAGTAGTAGTAGTAGTAGTAGTGGTGGTGGTAGTAGTAGTAGTAGTAGTAGTAGTAGTAGTAGTAGTAGTGATAGTTGCAAGTGCCGTATAACTTTTACGAAACCTTTAAATATTTTACGCCCTCATCAACAGATTTATTTAGATCAAACAGGAGGCAGATATCCTACCTTACCTGTAGACTAACAACATCCAAGCCGAAAAACCCAGATTCTCGAAAAAACGTTTCTCCGCACTCGGGAATCGAACTTGGGTCTCCTGTAAGGAACATCGGAGCACGTAACCGCTACACCACAGACGCAGGTTTATTAACATGTCATAACGAACATCAAGGAACAAGCCACACTAGAACATTCTTTAGTAAGTAAACAAAACTAGACACCCATCCCTAGAACAATAATAACAACAACAACAACAATAATAGCAACAACAACAACAACAACAACAACAACAACAACGACAATAAAACGCTTTCGAAAGAAAACAATTGAAATGAAATACATAATCAAAATCAACGAATACAAAATTGTCATCTATTTAAATTTCTCATAACTGAGCAACTGAGTAACTAAGTAACTAAATAACTAATTTAGTAACTAAATAACTGAGTAACTAACTAACTAAATAACTAAAAAAAAAAACTAACTTAAAAAAAATAAGAAACACATATCTAATGACAGAAAAGTAGAGTAATATTGGGAATGAAAACAACGTATTATCAAAATAGTCACACACCGAAATATGTATTAACCCTTCCAATTTACCCCCCCCTCCCCCCCAAAAAAGTCCTATTAATTATTTAAAAAATCCTCTTCGATCAGGGCTCGAACATGCGCATGTCCGCTGTCCAAATCGACGTGAAAGCGGAACTGCCATGGGCGTTGCGGGGGTCCGAGCAAGCAGACACAGCCTACGACTCAGTGCTTGCTGTGACCAGCGGACAAGACGTTTTGTGGAAGTCAAACCAATGTTCAGGTACAGTTTGAACTGTTCAAGATGGCCACCATTGTTCAGGGGAATAGCGGTTGTCTTAGACAGGTAGATGCCTCGTACAATGTCAATAAAGTACTAGAAAATACGGAAAAAGGGGGTGTGGGAAGGGGGGATCTTGGGCTTGGTTGAAGGACGGTGGAGGGGGAGTGCAAAGTGTTCGTTTGTGCAGGTGATTGTCTTGGACAGGTGGCCATTTGGGTTAGTTTGACTGCACTTTTCCTCACTCTTCACCTTCACCTATATCGGTGTCTGGCTGACCGTTTGTCCTCGGTTGTAGAGTTTACAACCACCTGCTTCATCTCCTCGCACTTCTCAACTTTCTGTAGTATGATGTTCCAGTCACTGCCAATCCACTCTTTGGTGTTGCGTTCCTATCGTTTCAAATGTATGCTTCTTCTTCTCCCTTCTTCTGCTGTTTTTGACGAGTCAAGATGATCGTGGATTATACCCGTACTACTTCTGAAAGTTAGGATCTGTTACTGAGAGGCCAGGAAGTCTTCATACAGCTTGTCATCGTTTCATACTCTGTTTCAGGTCTTTTTAGCAGGTTTTTAGAACTTTTATTATCAAGTAGGAGATAAGTAGGAAAGTACTTTACTGGTGTGTAAGTAAAATCAGAGCTAGACTTTGGTAACTGTTGTAACAATACATGCATTGTTGATACGTGCAAGATCCGTTACTTGTAGAATACAAAATATTTTTTTAAAAGAGGGGGGGGGGG